GGGGGGGCATTTAGGTTTTTCTTTATAGTAATAATCTTTGAGAAGTTTCGTTTTCTTTTTGTCTAAGCCCTCATAGCAAGGAGCCTTTATTGTTTATTGATATATCTTTCTCTCCACAAACAGCTTACACAGAAATGCTCCCATGATGAAGAGCTGGAAGCAAGCCATAGAGGCTGTAGGTTTCAGAAGGTGGAGATATGAGAAGCAGAGTCATATACACTGCATGGCTTTTCGGAAGGTGAGTTTGAGGAGGTGGTGGTTGTACTGTAAAAAAATTAATGAATACAGTGGAGTCTGATTATACCGAAGTCTACGGCACAGATATTTTTTTTTTCAGTTTAACTTTTTCACTACCACGAACACGGCTCTCCATTTCCTGCTTCAAAATCAGTCCTACTTTTGTAATAATCAAACTGAAAAATGATCGTTTTGAGCGATGTGTTTAGATAGGTCATTATTTCCCCTTTATTTTCATATATGATGCATGTGGCTAATATTGAAAATTGAAAACTAAAAATCTTTAATTTGTCCGAGGGTGGGCAGAATCAGAAAGTAGGTCACAGACGGGGCCTAGTCCTGGTGAGGAAAACCCACTGGTAGTGAAAGAGTTAAAAGGGTTGCTCAGATAGAAGGAACAGAAATCAGGGATTTTATTTTCTTTCGGGTTATTGCTGTTTTGGGATATTAACCGTGTTTCGTTTAAGCGGACTCCGCTGTTTTTATAAAGCTTTTGATAAGGAGTCATCACCTGTTATAGCACGGTCTGTGGAAAACCACTGCATTCAGATCGTCACGATTCCAGCCCGAGAAAATTCAAAATTAAAATTTGACAAATTCTTGTTGGAAGTATCATTGTTGAGGTTTCAAGAATTTGTGAGAGTGTGTGTGTCTGTGTGTGTGTGTGTGTGGGGGGGGGGAGATAGTGGTTTTCTGCCTACTTTCTGACTTGCATAGTCAGTTTATTGCATATGCACATATAAGCCGAAACAGTGTCTTTCTTTCTTTTTTATTTTTTAAAGTGGGTTCTCTAGGCTCTTCTTAATTCCTTAGGATCCCAATGGGTGGACTCATCCTCATTATCCAGTTCCTGACTGATGTATTGTTCCAATTTGATTCATTCAAACATATCTGTTGCCAAATCTGTTTTTGATGTTAGAGTATAGTAAAGTAAGGACACTGGATGGCTGCTAGATTCAAAAGACAAAATAGCTCCCTTGTTCATGACATTATGTCAGTTGTACATGTGTTTGTCTTTATGTAATACAGTGGGGCATAGATAACACAGACACGGAAAACTCGAAATCAAGGATAGTTCGTACAATTTGCCATTCCACGACTGATATATCTTTAGTTTTTCATCATCAGTCAACCCTTTGAACGTTGACCTCCTGATGTTACTATGCCCCTCTGCCTGAGCTCCTGAGAGATATATTTACTTACATTTATATGATCATCAGAATCACATTTCATATCCCACTCATGGTAGTCCTCATCAGTACATGTACTATTATTTAATTCACAAAGATCTTCAAAGTAATCAGTAACATCCTGTGTAGTAAACTTGGTTCTCCCACACGCAATTTGTCCCAGGAGGACCGGTTTGGGGACAGTGTCTCGCTCACCGCTGTACCGGTGGCTAGGCATGCGGGCAGTTTTACGGGCTACTGGTGTACTGACAATGAGGGTTCAAAGGGTTATCCCTGAATCACGAATGTGTTAAACACATTTTTCGATCAATTCCAAACGTGTGTGAGTTATCCCTGCCCTACTGTATTTAATATGAACATTCTTCTCTACTGTAGGAAGACTTTGAAATTGTTACAACAAGCTAAGAACCAAGCTTCATTTGTTTGGTTTTTCAGATCACAGAGAAAGTGGCCGTAGAAGAGAAGGAGACAGACAAGTATGTGGAGATGATGTATATACCACAGGATTTTAAGGAAGATGCAGACGAGAAAGCTCCCAAGAAACGGAAGACGAAACACAAAGTTGCTGCAAAGTCTGATTCTGCACAGCAGGAGAAATGAGGGATGTTGACGGTCTTGCGTTTTTATCAACTCTATGACGGCACGCTTTCTCGTCAGTCTACAGAACAGGAAGATGCACTGTTGTGGAGCATTTTAGAAAAGAAGCATAAATTATGCTTTGTTATTCTATTTTGTTTTAGTAAGCATTTTACAGCACTTGCAACACAATTAGGTCATGTAAGTGCTGAAGATTAAAGGTGTTGCAAACGAACAACAAACGCAAAAAGAAGGAGAAGAGATAAGGACGATAGATGTTTGATAGGAAGAAGGAGCAAAGCACACCAGAGCACCCACCACCCACCATCCGCCATATTATTCATACAGATTCTTCAATTCTGTTTTCTTTATCTGAAAAGGCAAGCAATAACATGCATACTATAAGATGTATCAAGTCGGGTTTCTGATTTGTGTATGATGGTTTGAAATCTACCCCAACACTGCCTTTGGTCTGCCGCTGGTCGGACATATGTGTCCGCTCCGTCCATAGAGAGTTATGACTTGTGAAGGGTACGGTGCACTCTTATAAAAAGGAAATACAGAAACCTCTGAATGTTTTGTCTCATGTCATGGATACTTGAGGGATAGAATTCTAAATAAAATGAGAGAAAAAAAAATGATATAACTGACATTAACTGACCTTCGTATATTTACACATATTTCTTTCACTGAAGTCTTTTAAGTTACTTGGTGAAAAGAGGAAGATTAAGTTTACTGCATTTTCATGATAAAATTGACTAGGGGAAAATTAGAGGGGAAAAATAGTCAATTCTTTTTGTTATATTTATAAATTGTGGTTAATTAATAGTAAGTCTTTGTTTTTGTTTGAGTAAAGAGAAGGACATTGGCACAATAACGGTCATTTTTTGCTGGGGAAAAAACAACAGACAGACAGATAAAACATTGCCATCAGGAAGGTCATGCCATTGCCATATCTACAAACGACAGAGCAATGAGGTTTTAGATTGATTGCCACTATTATGTATCTTGAGCAATACATTTTGATCTTCTCTCATACAGGGACTTGGTCACAGAGATGAGTTATGCTACAAGTGCATGTTAAATTGTGCTGCAGTGAATGCCTTGTCGAATGAAGTTCTGTCAGTAGTATCATTCCATTGTGAGGTGACTGAAAAATATTCATGTGTGTATATGTGTCTTGTTGCGTTGAGTTCCCTGTTCAGGGATGAATAAAATGGGCTGTTCTTGTCTTGATTTTTAAGTGAGTTTATTGTTTGTTTTTGTATTAGTTATGCACTACTCAGGATAATGTTGATTGTTTGAGAGCATCTGAGCAAAGGAATGAAAGGAGAACAATGATCGCTGATGTACGTCGTAGATCTGGCACTTTCTTATGAAATGCACTGCTAAACTCAAATAGATTGTTTTATGATTTGAATAAAGAAGAGAAGAAGGCAGCAAAGATTTATACTCCAAAGCAAATTTCATCTCATAGATTTGTATTGTTAAAGCTTTTCTTTTTAATTAAGGTGTTTTTACATCGTCATCAATACAATTTAGATCAGTTAAGAAGTGGGCTTCGATCCTGCCTGTCCGAGCCAATTGGTCCCAGCAGAAAGACTAAGATACTGGTACTTGATAAAAATTCTCTACACAGGGGAATCAAACTGGGGTCTTCTACGTGTGATGTCACTGTGCTTAACCCTTTCCGTACGTCATGTTTTAGTTTCATATCCATACGACTTGGGGAACTCTGTGCCACCACTTTCCAAAGAGGAGATGTACTCGTTAATGCAATCCGTACGCTTTGCCTAGCAGTCTGTCAAAATGATATCTTGAGAAATACTGAAAGTTTCAAAGAGATCTTCCTACTAGAAGTATTTTAATTTTAAAATGTGAAGAATACAACCCTGGGCGTACAAAATGACCCCAGGGCGTACGGATAGGGTTATCCTCTATACCACTAATGCAGGTTGTTGTCTTTTGCTCTTGTGTGGTTTGCTTCTCCTTTCCTATCGAACATCTATCGTCCTTATCTCTCCTCCATCTCTTCTTTGTAGGAAGCAACGCTTCTAATCTTCGGCTCTCATATTACCTATTTGTATGGCAAGCATTGTAAAACTCTTGCTGAAACCTAAAACATCACTGGCACTGGTTTGTGTATTGTCAGCTGAAATGTCTGTGTGTGTTATTCTCCTATTTGAGGACTTACACAAACTCCTGTTAGGGGTAGACCATCAGGTTTTCAGAACTTGCAAACATGTCCAGGGCAGTGCCACTGACTGAAGCGTCTTCAGGCCATTCCCAAAGGGGGAACATTTCTCGTTCTAGCATAGTAGAATTGTAAATGGGCTGATTCATGTCACGCTCATAACTGTGCCTGATCTACAACAGGGAACTGCTGCTTTTTCTTTCCTGATCCTTACTATTGTCATTTTCCTCTACTTCTTTTGTATGTTTGTCACTCTCTTGTGACCTGCTATTTCGGGGTGCCTTGATAGTCGAAGCAGACCTTGTGCTGTTGAAGCTAGAGAGAAGTCTGATTCCCTGTAAAGACTTCTCTGTTGACATCCACGCCTTGGCGCTCATATGACCTTATGCAGTTGCGAGCGCCGTAAGACCCTCTACTACCAAAAAAAACCCACATGTCCAGCGGGTGCTGTGGTGTGGTTTGCTCCTTCCTTCCTATCAAACATCTTTCGTCCTTATCTCTCCTCCTGTTTTTGTGTTTGTTTCTCTCTTGTAACACTTTTTATCTTCTGCACTTATGACCTTATGGTGTTGCAAGTGTCATAAAACTCTTACTAAAACTAAAACATGTTCCAGGTAGACAGTATTTCAGTGGCATGTATTAATATTGTTGCACGGTGGAATCCGCTAATACTTACACCAAGATCTGCGGGATCATCGGATTTTCCTCGGTCTAGTCGGTTTTTCATTTTAGAGAAGCTGCTCAAATAGAAGGAACAGAAGATCAGGCATTTTATTTTATTTTAGTCCACTGCTGTTTTAATGGGATTAACCATAATCGTTTTATGCGGAGTCCACTGTAAAAATCCTTATAATATGATGATATTTTGTAAACTTGGTATCATCAAGGTGGAGTGTACGAAAAAGACCTTTTCTAAGCTGACAACACAAGCAGTCTACGCTCAAACACATCGTCACGCTCATAAGATAATATTTATGCTTAGGCCTAAGTCATTTTTAGCTATTCTGAGAAAATGAGAGAAAACCTTTTTCTCCCAAACAATTCAGTTTGTGGTGATACTCTTGAATTTTGGTACACTGCATTGATTTTATATTTGGAAAATTCTTTGGTCCAAGTGAACTAGAACTATATTACCGAACTATATATCAAGCTAGCTCGGCTCTTCATTTCAGAACCAAAAACTCCAAACCGGCTAAAAATGACTTAAGCTGTTGTCTCATGAACGTGCTGACATACATGCAATCTAAAGACTAACTTGTCAAATGCATGTTGTTGTTGTTGTTTTCAAATCCCTTTAACTGCGAGCATTTCGCTCTTGGCAGCCCAATGCCTCCCTCAAGTAACCACATGTCCTTGTCATCTGGTCAACGCCAGAGTAGAGCAGGCTTTTTAAGTCTGTAGGTGTGTGTAGGACCCTGCGTCGAAGAACTGCCAGGTTTGGGCAGTGAAGGAGAAGATGTTCAACAGTCTCCTCGTGGTAGTCACAGTGTCTGCAATGGGGTTCCTACATGGGATTAATTCTGTTTATGTGCTTGTTGGTGTGGAAGTGTCTGTCAAGTGCATAAGTTAATAATTACCTCGGGTGATAATCATGTGTGGCCTGGGATTTTTTTAATGGCTTGTTCGTTACAGTAAGGCTGTATAAAAACAGATCCTCATAATGTGCAGTTTTAATGCTCTTATCGAACACGATAAGACAGCCAAGTGGGTTGAGAGCCATAGAAGCTCCTCAAGTAAACGTAATATTTCATGCTTAGTTGATACTGAAATGTCCGGTTTTGAGTATCTCCCCTGTGTGTGTGTGTGTGTGTGTGTGTGTGTCAGTCAGCGTGTCTCTTTCTTTCCCCACCCCTCACTTTGTTGGGTTGTTGTTGTTTTTTTGGGGGTGTTTTTTTTTTTTCATTACACATCATTGCATCTCAGTATTATCTTTCAGTTCGTTGGTCTCAGAAAGATAACTATCACAATCAAATACAGACTTCCCTCTTCATCTTTGTTTTGCATATATTCGTCGTACATCATATCTGCTTCCTTCTCACTTCTCGTGTTTGACCTGATAGTGTCTCTTGTTAAACACAAAGAAATTCTAAGAATCGTATGAACTTGTAAGAATGACGACAGGACGGTTGGCTGGAACGAATACTCTGTATCGATCTAGATATAGCTAACAATACATAAAGCAGGTCATGTCCTTAGAAGTGGGAAACTAGACACATGGCACTGCTTTCTGTTTGTTTTTGTATATATATTTTTAAAAAAAAATATATATACATGTATTAAAAAGGATATTCTAAGTGTTTTTAGACCACCATCGATAAAATTGACACCTTTTAGGAGGGAGGCTTCCGACCCTGCCTGTCACCGGGCCAACTCAGGCTCAGAGGGATACAACCTTCTAGCAGAAAGACCGAGATATTCGATTAAAAACTTTCTACCCACTCGGAAATCGAACTCAGGTCTCTCCTGTGTAGTGCGTAACCGTTACACCACAGACACCGGTTTGTATGTTTGTTTTTTGGTATTAGCTGAATGTTCTATAGACAGAGGAAAGCACAGAACAACATACACAGATTGTCTGAACAGCTTTATGACAAACAACACAAGAAGTAAAACTGACCTGATAAGGAGTAGTGATAACATTAAGGAATTGGGTACCATGATCGTCAGTATTTGCTCCAGACCTGACACACGAAGAAGAAGAAGAAAAAGAAGAAAGAATGCCATACCTGTGTTTGAAGTTGAAGTAAATCTTTTACCACCCATGAACATAATTAAATAGATAATTCAAGAGGCTGGTTGCTTCGAGTGCTTCCATCCTTCCAGTTAGGAACAAATGGGGCTGGGTAGGATACTCCATTTCAACAAACAGACGGCCGGAGGTAATACATAATTCAATGGAGTCCGCCTCAACTCAAATTCTACATACAAAGGGTAAAGTCACAATTGTCCAACATTTTCTAGCCCTGTAGAAGCGAACGGAAATATAATGTTCCTTTTGCTTGCTCGTCTCACAACAAAAAAACTGGTTCTGTTGCAGGTAACGCAAAATAAAGCATCTGTATGCGATGTTTATCTTTTTCCCAAATCTATGGTTACACCTTTGCGAACCATGACCTACTTGTTGCGAGGCGCCTTCCTCTTCTTTACTCTTTTCATTGACCGAAGCGTCGTGTTTACATTTACAACTGGCTTTCTGCATGTTCTGATACCTGTGAAGCAGTCTTAAGGTGAGTTTTAAATGTTTTGTATTAAATATATAATAGATATTATGTAAGGTAATAATAACCCAGAATCTTTAGGCCATTCCTTTCATAGAGACAATCTGGATACATGACGTGCGTTTAGAACAATATTGTTATTTTGGAGGGGTAGGTTACAAGCCGATTTGTTTACTTTTGAATCAAGACCTGAGTGTGTTTGCCGGCCTCGGTGTGTAATGGGCTGTTAACCAAAGCGGGAATACCCACAGGATGTTGACACGGTCTTGGGCTTGGTGTAAAATTTGACATAATATTATGGCTCGAAGGTGTAACTATAGGAGCTGATTCGTTAATTTGGTTTTGTCTGTCTGTTGATATGCTCTTTTTTCTGCATTCATGCCTCTCTGTCTTTGTGTCTTTCTCCCTCCCTGCCTCCCCCCTCTCTCTCTTTCTCTCTCTCTCTCTCTCTCTCTCTCTCTCTCTCTCTCTCTCTCTCTCTCTGACACACACGCACACGCACTCATACAAATGTAAAAACGTCACGAAACACCCTAAAAAACCATAGCATGTAAGCGCACGCATACACGCACACACACGTACACATTTTGCACAACGTCAAAAGAATATCTAATCCACCGCTTTTGGAAAAACCCGTTCATGTAACGTAACACACCGCCATATAGCACAGAGCACAACCCACCTCATGTTCCGTGTTTGCATACGCAAGATTTATAACTGCCCTGTATGTGTAAATACGTGTCTCAATTGCATAGAAGTAGAAGAAGTAATTCGAGCATGATGTTTGGAATACACGTATTAGCAAAAAAAGAGAACAACCGAAAAAAAACCCAACCCCAACTTAGTTTGTTAGTGTTTGGGGGCATGCAATCCACAGCTTGCACTGTATGCTTCCCGGGAAGCCGAGCTTGTTCTTGGCTCTGCTGGGGTAATAATTCAGACTTCTACATAAATTAAGGACCACTTGCGAACACTCTGAGTGGTCTGGTCTTCTTCGGTCGATCCACACCGGGTGTTCTTGGATTGATCCAGTGGCTTGATGGCTCTGCCTCAGGCGGACAATGACAGTGTGACACTGCAAGCCTTCTGGCAACCTTTTCGGGCTCCAACTCCATCCTGCAGCCATGCCATAGCTCTGGCACGATCGAAGTCCCTCAGCTTTCGCCTCGGTGGCATAATGATGCGATAGTGTATTTTGGCTTATATTGCCACCAAATTGAGGCACCAGAAATTTTAATTGAGGAATGTCCGTGGTGTCGCACACAAGTCGATAAAAACAGCAAATTTGGCTAAAATTCCCCGAGAATTCAGAACAAAACATTTTGAAACATTTCTTGCTGTCTTTTTTTCGGATTAAAAAAAATCAGTACTGTCTGTCAAGGTGGTCCTCAACTGAATTATGTTGAAGTCTGCACATGTACTGTACAAAGTTGTAAAGCGCATAGAGCATGCGGTAGAGAGTGGATATGCGCTATACAAAGGCAACTATTACTACACGTATAGCTGTTTCTAGTACTATGACTATTAATACGATGATGATGAATATGATGATTTATTTTACTCCACAAAGAAATCTTCGAGCGAGAGCGAGGCTCTTTTCCGGCTCCATTGTCATGATACCCAGTGGCATCTCCACTCGTCCAAATAACTCCATTCGAATTGCCATTGTTCCTGGATATTCAAGCATATGTTTGACATCCTCCTTTTCATGGATGCATCTTCGGCAACGTGGGTTGAGCTCTTTATTCACGAAGTTCTGATACCACCTCAAGTTCTAATGATGGTCCGACCGCAGTCTCGCTAGCCCAACCTGGTCCCAGCGACATGTGATATTTTGTTCCTGCTTATTGAAGTACCCAGAATACACATCCTCTAGGTGCTGGTACTCAGCTCTGCATGGTGGGTCTCTGATTTCCCCCTTGATCATTGGAAAGACTCCTCTGTATGTTATTGTATTGGTTGTCTGTCTCCTTCAATCTTCTGGCTTCATCGGCAGCTTGGTCCGCTTCCTCATTTCCTTCGATTCCAGCGTGGCTCGGAATCCAATAGATCTTAATTGTGGCTGTGGTTTCACTGATCTTGCGGCGCAAATCATTTATGTCTGAGCTGTTGCCTATCAGTACCTTTGACTGTCAGTCAAGATCAGCATATTGGTTCCACTGTGACAATTGTCAGCAATCAATTGTGCAGCAGACATCATTGCCTGGCTTTCCTCGTCATAAGATGATGTGAGGAATGCACCTTTAGTTTTAATGATTTCTGTTCGTGGTGGTTCATCATTCATTATTACCACTACTGCTGCTCCACCTTCGCGGTATCCTACGACAGCCGATCCAAAAGGGAAAATTGTCACGTCGGCACCAACCTCCTTGCAGCTTCACGTACATGCCTTTACAGAATCATCTCCTTTGCTCTTTCTCTCAATTCTTTCCGGATTTCGATTTCGCCATGGGTCTCCCATGGACACACTCTGCTTCAGGGGGAGGTGGTCTGCTAGGTCTGTGCCCATCTGAAACCAACCTTTCCTGCTGTTTTTTAGGCTTGACTACTTGATCAAGGGCTTTCTTTCTAGGATGTCTGTCTGGCAAGCTCACGGGAAAGCTCTGATGATGATGATGATGATGATGATGATAATGATGATGATGATGATGATGATGATGATGATGATGATGATGATGATGATGATGATGATGATGATGATGATGAACGTCCAGGCCTATACGAACATCTGATTAAACGACACCAACCCTATTCAAGTCTCAAGTATATATTTTTTTTCTACTTTAAAACACGATGATGATGATGATGATGAGAATGAAGATGTTTGAGATACCGGTAACACGGCATGAACAAGCACAACGGGCAGTAGGAAAAAGCGAGAATACATATTAAAAAAATTTTTTTTATGGTTATTAAATTAGTGTATTCATTGGACGCCCACAACTCGTGTTCAATGACTCCGTGGTAGTATTCTTCTACAGGCCCGTGACTCAAACCGCACGAGCAATTTTCGGTTCTTTCTTCCGACGAACACCGCACCATCCTTTTGGCTTTTCTAATTTTCTTTTAAAATTTAGGGGAGATTTTTAAAAAGCTAAAAGACGAGAGGCTGTCATTTTATGACAATGATAAAGACAATCTCTCAGGGAGAAATTTGTCTTTTTCGTTTACTGTGGCAGGGGTGTTGCAAAGGTCAGGTGCACTCACGCATACACACAGCAAGACAGGATATTCAATACATGTACATGTATTACTTACTGGAACACCCCCGTTCTGTAAACATTCTCCACCTCTCTC